AGTCACTTAAGCTCTACAAGTTCTAAAAGTTCTAAAGCTTCTAAAAGTTCTAAAAGTTCTAGAAGTTCCAAAAGTTCTAAAAGTTCTAACCATTCTAGAAGTTCTACAAGTTCCACAAGTTCTACGAGTTCTACAGGTTCCAAAAGTTCTAAAAGTTCTACAAGTTCTACAAGTTCTAAAAGTTCTAGCCGTTCTGAAGGCCGGAGTTCTATGCGTTTAGGTTTTGCGGTTTAGGGTTTGGGGATTGGGGTTTAGAGGTTTAGGGTTTAGTGATACGAGTTCTGAAGGCCGAGGTTCTGGGAGTTCTACAAGTTCTTTATGGTTCAGGGTTTAGGCTTTTGTGTTTGAGGTTTAGGGTCTGGGGTTTACGGTTTCAGGCGACGTCGTCTTCTTCCCCCCGCAGTGCACGGGCTGGCACTGTAGAGGGGGCCCACCTGCTCCTACTCCCCTGCATTCACCTCAGGTGGTAGTGCAGGGGACCCCCCCCCCACCCCCCCACCCCTTCCCAGCACTTTAGGGCTTAGGGTTTAGGGTATTTCTAGTTTAAGGCGACGAGCTAAGCCTTTTCCCCCCGCAGTGCCCAGGCTGGCACTGTAGAGGGGGCCCGCCTGCCCTAAACCCTAAACGCTAAACCCTAAACCCTAAACCCTAAACCCTAACCTTAAACCCTAAACCCTAAACCTTAAACCCTAAACCCTAACCGTTTCCCCTGCATTCACCTCAGGTGGTGGTGCGGGGGCCCGCCTCCCTACATATCCTGCGACCTAGCATACGCAGGTACATAAAAGAAAATCGCACACACAGAACCAAACCCCAACAAAAAACGAGACAAAACACAGGAATCATCCCAAAAATTCCCACGCACCCGAAACGCATCCAAGAAAATCCCACGCACCCGAAACGCAACTAGCGCCATATACCCTATACTACTAGAATTCTTATTAAGGTATATGAACCATAAACCCATTTAGGGTTCATTTCGTCCCCAAGGTTAGTAGGGTGGAAAGGGTGGAAGGTTGTAGGTTCAAGGGACTCGACCTTGGACCCCTAAGGTTGTACCCTTGGGTATGGGGACCCTGCTTCAGGATCCTCTACGAGAATAGAAGGAGGTGTGAATAGGAGAATATGAAGGGAACTTTAAAGCCTCCAAGTTTGACTCCCCCTGAAGGGTAGGATTGCAAAACCCTAAGCCCTAAACCCTTCTAGGCTTCTTGGGCACATGTCGGCAACCCGCAAAAAGAAGGGTTCAAGCCTATGGGATATAGCTCAGGAGCAGGGTTGAGGGTGCAGGCTTTAGGGTTTAGGGTGGTTTAGGGTTTACTCCGCGGCGCTCCTCCCTGGCCCTAAGAAGATTAAACTCGGGCCCCAAGCTTCAAGCCCCTCAGCCATGCTTCCAAGTGTGAGTGCTATCTCTCTCTCTCTCTCGCTGTCTGCTTGTGTGTGGCCCTAGGCTTTTTTTTGTTTGGCGTTAGGCGTTTCCCGGGTTTGAGGGCTTCAGTGGGGTCTTGGGCTTGAGGCTTCGTGGGCTTTTCCGAGGCCGCACAGGCCACGCCGCTGCTCCTGGCCTGCCAGGCAGGCAGCGTGGAGGTAGCGGAGCTGCTTCTCGAAGCCAGGGCAGACCCCGACAAGGAAGGGTTCGGGGTTTAGGGCTAGGGGCTAGGGGGCTTAGGGTTTCGGGCTTAGGGTTTGGGGTTTAGGGCTTAGGGTTATTTAGGGCTTAGGGTTTGGGGTTTAGGGCATTGGGTCTCTGAGTTCGATTCAAAGTTTTAGGCAGCTTCAGAGACTGGGATCTGGGGGCTGGGTTTAGGGTTTGGGGTTTATGGTTTAGGGTGCCTTGGAGTTTTTGACACTCAGCTGAGAGTTTTTAGGAGCTTGACGTTCAGGAAAAGAATTTCAGGGTCCCGTCTAACCTGAAACTCCACCCCTCCCCTCAAAGCCATAGAGTTCCAAAGTCAAAATCCCTTAAGCCTTGAAAGCTGAGATCTTGAAGGAATGGTTGATGATGGTTTAAGGTTGGGGGTTGAGGGTAGGCCGAGGTTGTCTAGCACTGCCCTCAGCGGTGCCACCTCCCTGATTTGATACCCTGAACGCCAACCCCTAACCCCAAACCCTAAGCCCTAAACAACCCCAAAAACCGCAAGTGATAGGCCCATCCGGACAACGATCGATCGCCGCTCCACGTGGCGGCGCGGCGGGGAAACTCTGGTGTTGCGCGACTGCTGCTGAGATCTGGGGCCGACAAGGACTCGCCTTTCTGGTTTGGGGCGTAGGGTTTAGGGTTTAGGGTTTAAGCGTTTAGGGTTTAGGGTTTAGCGTCTTAGTAGGGAATGAGGGAATTCGGGCCCTGTACTTTTGCCTCTAAGGGATTATAGCGGGTACCTCATTCCCTCGTTCCCGAACAAAAACCAGCCAGTCGCTGCGAAGAGAAGAACGAAATGAGCCCGCGGTTAAACAAACCACGAATGAATGGAATGAGTGTATGACTTTTTCAGCGGCCTTCTCATTCTCTTCTTCTTCTTCTTCTTCTTCTTGGCCGCTCTTTTTGTTTTATCGCGGGTTCGTTCATACACGTTTTCAACAATGGCGCAATGAAAGCACAGTCAATATTAACAGAGTGCGAATGAAACCCCCATTCATAAGAACCATAAAGAATCATAGTAAGAATAACAACGAGAATGAAAATAGTTAAAAAATGATGGTCATAATAAGAATAGTAGAAGTAAGCCCAGTTAAAAAAAAAAAAAAAATATATATATATATATATATATATATAGGGGCCTTTCATTAGTATTCTTACTGGCCCGTTAAAAGGGGTTAACCCGCTCAAAATTCGGACTTTTATCTATTCAAAGCTCTCTAAAAAGACTTTTGGTACAATGGGGCATTGCCTACAGCATTGAAGGGGGGGAAAAGTAAAAAGAGCATATTAGACATACTAAAAGGCGCGCTATGCATCGCTCTTTTACTACATTTGATGAGGCTTTTAGGGGTTCGCAAGCTCACGGTAATAATACTAATACAGTGAACTTCCTGAGTGAACAAGTGAAGGAAGGATGTCGCGGTTGTAATTAATATCGCAAGTTTGCGCGCGGAATGAACCAGACCCAATAGTAGCATAGGGTACTCTTTTGGGGGTTCGACTTTGGGATCCTCCTAGGGGTCTGGGGAATCCCCCCCCCACTAGTCTCAAACCCTAAATAGAAAAAGCTCATTCAATGGGTCTGGGAGGGTGCAGAAGTTTCTACTTGTAGATGGTTTGGGTTTTGACTTGCCTGGGGGGGGGGGGGGGCTTGTCTTCAAAAGGCTTGGCCTGTTGTAAGAAGCCTGCTGCCCTCATTGTTGTCTTTTCTTTTAAGTTAAGGGGGTTTATCCTAAACCCTAAGCCCCTAAACCCCTAAACCCTAAACCCTAAACCCCTAAACCCCTAAACACCTAAACCTAAACCCAGAGATGTTTTTGCTCTTTGCTAGGGGCTGGGTGGTTGGTAGGGATATAAGAAGCAGGGTTTACAATTCTTTTTTTGGTGAGTGTATATAAGGTTCCTTTTTAATATTGGTGAGTGTATGTACCTGGTGTCCTTTTTGGGGGGTACAAGAAAAATAGACCCTACTTCATAACACAAAAAATGGCAAGTCAACGTTATGCTGGAATGCATCTCTTGGCTCTCCTCATCTCAGGCTCCAAATGTCAGTTAGGGCTTAAGGGCCTTATAGAGGCTTTGGGACTTAGGGCTTACGTAGGATTTAGGGTGCGACTGCCGGTTTGAGAGTTCTCTGGACCTCTGATCCCGTTCTTGGGTACGGAAAAATGGAGTGCCTGACTGGGTTCAGGGTTTTAGGTTTAGGGTTTAGGGTTCAGGGTTCAGGGTTCAGGGTTCAGGGACTTAGGGTTTATACGGCTACTCGAGGGAATCGCCCAAAAAAAACGTCCAGAGAAGGGGGGGTTTTGGCTTCTCAAGCTCGGTCTGACGCAGTTTGAAATCGGCTCTACATATTTTGAGTACCTAAACTAGGTTAGAGTATTGGACATAATATAATACCATCACTACCCTTAAAAGCCAAAAAATCTGAACTCTAAGCCCCTAGACCCTAGCCCCTGAACCACCAAATTCCTAACACCTAAACCCCTTAACCCCCTTAACCCCATAAACCCCTGAACCCGAACCCCTGCATCCCTAAACCCCTAAACTCTAAACCCTAGCCCTAAACCCTAAACCCCCAAGCCCTTAACCCTACCTAACCCTCCCAGAGCCTATGAGCCCTAAACTCTAAACCCTAGCCCTAAACCCTAAACCCTACCTAACCCCTCCCAGAGCCTATGAGCCCTAAAGCGGGCAACCACAGGATCGGTCTACTAGCACCGGCGCTACTGCACTCATCTTTGCTTGCGAGGCGCTTGTTCTCAAACTCTGTACCCTTGAAGGGGTTTAGGGTTTAGGGTTTAGGGCTAGGGTTTAGGGTTTCGGGGTTTAGGGTTTAGGGCTAGGGTTTAGGGTTTCAGGGTTTAGGGTTTATAGAGGGTTTAGGGTTTACGGCTGAGGGATGCTGAGGTTCGCTCACACTGGGGTCCTGACCTTTTGTCCTCTGGGTCTTCACGTTCAGTCCTCACTTTTCGTCAGCACGGCCAATTGAAGTTCGGAATGCAGTCCTCCTATCCTCAGGGCCTTAGGGGGCGGCGCAAGCTGAATGCAGGGGTTTAGGGTTTAGGGTTTAGGGTTTAGGGTTCAGGGTTTAGGGTTTTAGGGTTTAGGGTTTAGGGTTTAGGGTCCTTTTTTCATGATGTCTCTTCGTTCTACATGTCTGTTTTCTTATTTGTACTCTTCTCTTTGCTATTGTTGTGTTTTAGGTGAGGGGCTGGGGGAGAGGGGGGGGTGGATCATGAAATGCCCAAACACGCCAGGCAGGATGCATGGAGGTCGTCGAGCTTCTTTTGGGGGCTGGCGCAGACAGGAACAAAGCTACAGACAAAGGGATCACCCCATTTCTTGCTGCCCCGATGCCATGGGAGCCTTTTCAAGCTTAGTGTTTGTCGAGGAGTTGGGTTTAGGGTTTAGGGTTTAGGGTTTAGTGTTTAGCGTTTAGGGTTTAGGGTTTCGGGTTTCGGGTTTAGGGTTTAGGGTTTATAAGGTTTAGGGTTCAGGGTTTCGGGTTTAGAGCATCTCGCAGTGCTTGGTAAGTCTTCATCCATCCCGATGATGGCTGAGGCTGCCTGCCAGGGCGCTCACTTGGATCTGGCGCGCCTCTTCGCCCCAGCGAGCGCTGATCACGACACAGGGCTTTAGACTCGGTTTGGGGTTTAGGGTTTAGGGTTTAGGGTTTAGCGTTTAGGGTTTGGGGTTTGGGGTTTAGGGTAACTGGCTGTATTCACCTGCAGTCTAGCAGCAGTTTTTCCTTAGCTACCCATAAAGCTCTAGGAAAATGGAGCGCCAGGTAAAGCCTGAGCCTGTGTAGTTGTGAGAGTCGCGAGCTGCTGCTGAGACGGCATCGGTGAAAAGATCCGCCTTAATTACTTGGAGGTCCAGGATACTTAGGAACCACTCATAAGTGCAGTTTATTACCCACTTCTAAGTCCCGTAAGTACCCTAATAGGGTTCTAACTGGGTTATAAGCGCAGCTATCATTGGGTTACTAAGTACCCTGAACCCTAAACCCTAAACCCTAAACCCTAAAACCCTAAAACCCTAAAACCCTAAACCGTGAACCTCCAAGTACCGTGCGAGTGAGTCTGTAGCCTGGCTCAAAGCCACGGTGCCCCAGAAACTGCAGGCTGGGGTTTAGGGTTTGGGGTTTAGGGTTTAGGGTTTCGGGTTTAGGGTTTAGGGCTTAGGGCTTAGAGTTTAGGGTTTAGGGTTTAGGGTTCAGGGTGCAGGGTTGAGGGTTGAGGGTTGAGGGTTCAGGGTTTAGCCTTGGGATGAACCCGGAAGTTGGGGTCATAATACCCTATACTATTGCAAACCCAATTAAGGTATATGAACCATATGTTGCTGGTTCTGGGTTCTCTTTTATGAACTAACCAACCCCCAAGAAGGGGTACCCTTATTGCATGATGGAAAATTGGCTACTTGCCCTAAACCCTAAACCCTTAACCCTTAACCCTTAACCCTTAACTCTTAACCCTAAACCTGCTGCAGCCAAGGTACGACCGCGTGTCTGCCGAGCTCCTGCATTCCTTCAAGGCCCAGCTAAGCGAGTGGCACCTGCGTGCCAGTTGGGGGGTGTGCAGGTACTCTACCTCCAGCAGTTCAAGCCTTCCCCCTAAGCCCTAAACCCTAAACCCTAAACCCTAAACCCTTGTGAAATTCTACCCAGTCTGGTGTGTATAGCGTACAGCCGAGGTCACATCTCCCCAAACTACTCTCCTTCGTAGGTAGCCCAATCAGGTTTTCTTACTTGTCTTTGATTACTCCGCAGGCCTAAACCCTAAACCCTGAACCCTAAACCCTAAAACCCTAAAACCCTAAAACCCTAAACCCTAAACCCTAAACCCTAAACCCTAAACCCTAAACCCTAAACCCTAAACCCTAAACCCTAAACCCTAAACCCTAAACCCTAAACCCTAAACCCTAAACCCCAAACAAACACTTAGCCAGGCCTGGGCTGAGCGCTTCTTCGGCTCCGTGGGCCGGGCCTTCGCCGCCCTCGATGCGGCCGGGGCCTCGCCTTAGGGTTTAGGGTTTAGGGTTTAGGGTTCAGGGTTCAGGGTTTAGGGTTTAGGGTTTCGGGTTTCGGGTTTGGGGTTTGGGGTTTAGGGCTTAGGGTGTGGCTCAAAGGGTTTGCAGGGTTTATAGGGCATACAGGGTTTAGAGGGCTTGGAGGGTTTGGAGGGTTTGGAAGGTTTAGAGGGTTGATAGGGCTTACAGGGTTTAGGGTTTACAGCATTTAGGGTTTGAGGTTTGCAGTTTATGTACTTATTGATGTACAAGATCATTGCTATGTGTATGTGTATATGTATATGTATACAATTATATATCAACACGAACACCGAGCGAGTAGACGACATTAACCAAATGCTTCGGAAACCCATTTTGAATAGCAACACCGCTGGAATGCGAGATTCATTGGACGGCGATTCGCATACAGCCCCGTGCCAAAATTATTTGCCGTCTACCGGATTTCGTAAACCCTAAATGCTTAACCTTTAACCTTAAAACCCAAAGTCCTAAAACCTAGGCTTTACAGCCCAAGCCACAAAACCCTAAAACCCACCCGCCCCCCCCCCCCCCCCCCCCCCCCCCCTTCCCCTCCCCGCCTCCCGGAGGGTTCAGGGTTCAGGGGTTGAGGGTTAGGGTATAGTGGGCTCTGAGCCTGCTCAGGTAGATCCCCATCTAGCCCGATACCCGAAACCCAAGACCCGAAACCCAAGACCCGAAACCCTAAACCCTAAACCCTAAACCGCGCGCTTGCACATCATGTCTTTGGTTGGAACCATGGGCCGTTAGGGCTGGTCCCTTGCCGGTTTAACGGGATGTAAAGGGATCCAAACTATGGGCCCTTAGTATGTGTAGTATATATGCGGGTTATAAAGCTTTTAGGGTTTAGGGTTAGGGTTTAGGGTTTAGGGGTCCCCTATCATCAGCCTTTCTCCTGCGAGTTTGCAAGGGTTTGTGAGGCTTCGAGGGGGGTAAACGTTTTTTGTTTTTCGGGGTTTCGGTTTTGGGCGCTTCAGGGTCTAGGACATCTTGGATCTAGGGCTTCGGGTTGAGGGCTTAGGGTCTAGTTTGGGTTTGGGATGAGTTGGGCTTAGGGTGTTGGGTGTTGGGTTTAGGGTTTAGGGTTGAGGGGTTACTTGGAGGTTCATGGGTACTTATAACCCTAATTATACCTGTACTTATAAGCCCCCTGAGTCCCCTAAGTAGGTTATAAGTAGACTTATAAGTGTGGTTATAAGTACCCATGAACCTCCAAGTAGGGTTTAGGGCTAGGTAGGTTTGGGGTCTAGGGTCTAGGGTTTAGGGTTTAGGGTTTAGGGTTTAGGGTTTAGGGTTTAGGGTTTAGGGTTTAGGGCTAGTTCGGTTTAGGGTTTAGGGAAGCAGGATGGAAGCGGCTCAGTGAGCCTGCACGAGCTGCGCAAGGCGTGTCAGAAGAGGCGTTGCAGGGGCAGTCCCTGCACCGGTTTAGGGTTTAGGGTTTAGGGTTTAGGGTTTAGGGTTTAGGGTTTAGGGTTTAGGGTTTAGGGTTTAGGGTTTAGGGTTTAGGGTTTAGGGTTTTGGGGGATCTAAAGGTACTTCTGGGAACTGATTTCGGGCTTCTGTTGGGAAGGGAAAGAGGGTAACTTTGGGAACAGGTAGGTATTTTGATCCGCCCCCTTTTTAGCCTTGAGGCCTTCTAAGTCTTACAAGCCTTAAGACCTTGTTTCTAACGTCCGCAAGAGTTTTAAGCCCACAGAGCCTCTACTTGAGTTTTGGGGTCTAGGCTGCCTGTAATTCGGGGTTGCTACTTTATGGATTCTCCTAGAAGGTCTGGGGAGCTCCTCAGCGTTGCACGCCGGACCCGCGATGAAACGAGGCATGTCAGCGCTGCCCCAGTGAGGGAGCGTCCATCTACCTGGAATCTACCTCTGATGCGCACCAGAACTTAAACCTTCAACCCTAAAACCTACACCCTCAACCCAAAAACCCTACACCCTCGACCCAAAAACCCTCAACCCTAACTCAAACATGTCCCACCCAAGCGGCGCGTAGAAACAGAAGTCCTGCAGCGAGGGGCTTGAGGGTTTGGAAGCCCTGCCCTTTTAGGGTGTAGGGTTTAGGGTTTAGGATTTAGGGTTTAGGGTTTAGGGTTTAGGGTCTATATGGGGGTCTGCGAGATTCGGGGTACCTTATTTGGGTCCTTATTAGGGAACCCTACTTTTTGGGGGTCTACGTTAGGGGTCCCATATGCCTAAACCCTAAACCCTAAACCCTAAACCCTAAACCCTAAACCCTAAACCCTAAACCCTAAACCCTATTTTCGTAAACTCCCATATGCCAGGTGTTGGGCAGGCGATGTCAACATGCTCTTCAACTGCTTGGACGTAGATGAGGCCCCTGGATTAGGATTCTGAGCTCTTTGACATCTAAGGATCCTGCATCCTGAGCTGCGGTTTAGGGTTTAGGGTTTAGGGTTTAGGGCTAGGGTTTAGGGTTTTGGGTTTAGGGTTTAGGGTTTAGGGTCTTGGACTTAATTAGCCGGTAAGGTTGAGGGTTTAGGATTTTAGGGTTTAGGATTAGGTTGTGACGGGATCCAGGCCTTAGTGAGTAGAAGTTTTTGCACTGCACCCTTCAGTTCCCGATTCATGTGCCCTGGCGGTGCCCATGTCAGCCTGGGGCTTAGTATTTACAGGGTTTAGGGTTTTGGCTTTAAGTCTTTAAGGTTTTGGGAGGGGGCTGGGGGGGCGTGGGGGAGGCGGACGGGGGGCGGAGGGGGGGGGGGGGGGGGGGGGTCCGAGCGGAACCTGATAGAGGCTGGGTTTTAATGACTGGCTTTCCAGGGGGCCCAGACTTAGCCCCAAATATGGCCTTTATGGTCCGAGGCCCCTGTGACTTTGCTGCACGGAGGTTAGGGAGTTTGAGATGGTGAGGCTCGAACGACCAATAAAAAAACAAGCTTGAGCCATCACCGATATAAACTTAAAGCCTCAACCGAACACTTACTAGGGGTTAGGGTTGTGTTGAGATTTAGGACCTAAACCTAATAGGGTGAGCTGATAGGGTCCAGGATTGGAGGGGTTTTAGTGCGGTTGTCAGGGTTAAGTTTTGGGGGGCTTTAGCATTATGGTTTTAGGGGGGGGGGGGGGGGGGGGTGGTGTTTAGGGTTTCGGGTTTAGGGTTTAGGGTGATAGGGTTTAGGGTTTAGGGTGATGGGTGATAGGGTTTAGGGTTTAGGGGTTGAGGGCCAATTTGTTTTGCAGGGGAGCGGCCATCGCGCCACGCTGGACGTGACCGAAGTGTCCTTTCTGGACAACTGGGACGAGGCATGCACACTCTTCAAGGGAGGTGGGTCCAAGGGGGGTTTAGGGTTTAGGGTTTAGTGTCATAACCCAAGGTTCCCTAATGCTCCCTACTCCTCCCTAAGGCTCCCTACGCTTCCCTAAGGTTCCGTAGGTACCTACCCCTTTTGAAGCCCCCTCCCTTATAGCTCTTGCTGTGTTCTATGACTAGCTCTTTCTCAGAACCGTGAGAGGATCCCCGTAAGGGTTCCTAAGAATAACCCAACAGTAGTACAGGGTACTATAACGGCTACCGCCAGTGCCGCCGACCCCGTGGGAGGGCGCGCTGGAGGTCTGGCTTGGGTTTGGGTGCGGAGGGGAAGGGGTGGGGGGGGGTGGGGGGGGGTGGGGGTGGTGGGGGGGGGTGGGGGGGGGTGGGGGCGGTGGCTGGATGGTGGGTGGGGGGGTGGGGGGGGGTGGCAGAGGGGTTGGGTGGGGCACAGGTAGTAGCGGATAGGTGGTCCCCACCACGAGAGGGAGTAATCAATATTTCAAAGGTACCCCGCACAAGGTAAGGAGGCACTTTGGCTGAGGGCTTCAGCCATCACCACCGCCACCAGCCTGTCAGCCATCACCACCTAAACCCTAAACCCTACACCCTACACCCTAAACCCTAAACCCCTTGCAGGCCTCAGAAACCGAGGAGGAGACCGCCGAGCCAGAGACAGCGCAGGTTTCCCGGCCCGCAAACCCGAAGCTTTCATCCCTACACCTTGTTAGGGTTTAGGGTTTCGGGTTTAGGGTTTAGGGTAGAAACCCTGAAGCCCTGCACCTTAAATCGATGGGCCCTTGGGTTTTAAAAGCGTACGTATGGTATGTATGGAGTATATAAGGGTTCCCCAATTGAGGGCCCTTGTTGTCGGACCATGTAGCCCTTAAACAAGAACTCTAAACCCGAATTATACTTCAAACCCTAAACCTTGAACCATTAACCCAACTTTTAAAACATGCTTTCGGGACACTCTCGGGGGGCTTAGCTTGTGTTGGGCCTTGGGATTTCGAGCGGTTTGCCCGTCTTCGTTTTTGAGTGTTAAGATGCAATCTTTCGGGCTGGGTAGTTAACCTTCACTCTTTTGCTTCTACAGCATAGAACCCTGTAACAAAGACATTGTTAATCCCTAAACCCTAAACACTAAACCCTAACCCCTAAGCCCTAAACCCTAAACCCTAAACCCTAAACCTTTCTTTGGCGATTTTCGGCAGCCGAAGCTTCAGCCCAGCATGGAATGGATGACGACTGCTCGCTGCTTCAAGCATGAGGGCTGCTTCTCCAACGACGGCAAGGCATGTCAGTTTCTTGGATCTTTGACAGAAGATGAACAGTTCTACAAGCTCAAGATTGACAGTGCTGGTGCTTGCAACGGCGCGGTCCGCGAGAACAGCCGAAAGCCTGCTGCTGCTCAGGAAAAGCCCCCGCCGTGACGGTGGAGGATAGGGAGGCGGTTCTGAGTGCCGCAAATTTTTTTGCTGGCGGCGGGGCTCAAATTTATGTACTTGCGGGACCGGGGGGAACCTCGAGACCCCTACCCCAAACCTCAAGAAGCATGTTTGGCCGCGGTTTAGGGTTTAGGGTTTAGGGTTCAGGGTTTGGGGTTTAGGGTTTAGGGTCGTAGCTGTAGCTACATACACTTCTCTACCATGCAGCTCGATTCCAACCCAGGGGCCACCCAGAGCCTTCACAATCGGCCCGAGAATTGAAACCCACTAAATCCGAGACCCTGAGCCCTGGAACCCTCAGCCCTAATCTGCCCTGATCTCCTGAAACCCTATAGACCTTAAACATCCTTAAGCCGTAGGCGGCCATGTCCTCATGCAGTTCTTCGCAAACCCTACACCCCATAAACCCTAAAGCCTCCCACCCTGCAACCTTGACGCCTGGAATTCAGACCAAGAGCCCCCCCTTCCCTAAACCCTAAAACCCTCTAATTTCTCCCCAAACCCCTAAACCCCTAAACCCCTAAACCCCTAAACCCCTAAACCCCTAAACCCCTAAACCCCTAAACCCCTAAACCCCTAAACCCCTAAACCCCTAACCCCTCAACCCCCAACCCACCACCCCTAAAACCCCTAAACCCTAAACCCCAAGCTCCTAACCCCCTAACCCCCCCCCCCCCCCCCCCCCCCCGAAAACCCCCTAAAACCCCGTCGATTGGGGTTCTCTTAGGCTCCGCCACCACAGCGCTCCGCTGCCTGGACCGAGTTGCAGGGGGGGGGGGAGGGTCTAGGGTCTGGGGTCTTGGGTCTAGGGTCTAGGGTCTAGGGTCTAGGGTCTAGGGTTTAGGGTTTAGGGTTTAGGGTTCAGGGTAAACCCTCAAAAGCCCTCAACTAGCTGAAACTGGAACTCTTCGACCGCGTCGCGTCCACCCTTGTGAGGCACTTACGAGAGGACTTGAAAAGGTCCAGGCAAACCCTGAGCAGCTGAGTGAGCACACTTTACACTTTTTGGGATACTATAATCCCTTGTAGAACTGAAAGTGTGCACTCTTGGGAGCTTATGATCTCAGCAATCAAGTAACCCCTTCACCATCATCTGAAGAAACCTTCATCCCCGAAGTTGCCCCGAAGCCCCCGCCTTCTTCAGGCAAGCCCTCAAAGCGAAAGCACGCCTTCACCCTCAAACCCCCACCCCATCCCTAACCGTAGCCCTAAACCCTGAACCCTAATCCCTAGACCGTAACCCTAAACCCTGAACCCTAAACCCTCAAACCCTCAAACCTAAACTCTACATCCCACGCCTTAACCCTAATCCCCAAACCCCAAACCTCAAACCCCAAACCCTAAACCCTAAACCCTAAACCCGACGCTCTTCTCAAGGCCTCCTCCTCAGCACGCGCGCCGCCACGCGCTGTGGCCGCGTCCCCACCGCGGAGCATCTCGGCACGGCCGGTGCCAGCCAGGCCCCAGGGATAGACCTTGGGGTTTGGGGTTTAGGGTTTGGGGTGTAGGGTTTAGGGTTTGGGGTTTAGGGTTTAGGGTTTAATTAGGGTTGAGGGTTTAGGCGTTAGGGGTTTAGGGTTTAGGGCTTGCAAGGACACCCCCAACCCCTAGTTACGAGTAGAGTTCTAAGGACCCTAAATTGGGTTCTAAGGCTCCTAACTTAGGCTACGAGTCCCTTGACTGAGTGTTAGTATAGTAATGTCCTTGTGGGGGTGCAGGGTTTAGGGGTTACAACGGTCTAGGGTCTTAGGGCTACAGGGATAGTGGGTTAGAGCGGCGTCGAAGCCAGGCGCGCCGCACGAAATTTTCTTACGACACCCGGACGAACCGACTTAAGACAGGATCCCACCGCGCACCCACAAACAGTCACAGTTTCCTTGATAGCCCAGCAAGCTTGACTTTAAAGAGGGCCCACGACAGCGAGGGCAACAAGGTAGGTTCTGTGGCCCGAAATCCAAATCCACTACCAGAATGACCCGCTAACTGTAACCCTACGGACCCCAAAGCCCTGTGAACCTGTAGGACCCCGTCAAACTCCTCATTATTAACATCATATAAATCCCGTGGACCGTTCAAAGAGAGCAAACATCGAACCTTTTCGACCGTTCGGGGTGGGGCGGGGTGGGGGTGAGGGAATCACTAAAGAAGGTGCAACATTGGGGTCTGCATATATACATATGTATATGTAAATCTTGAAGGAAAACGTCTTAAACCCTAAGCTCCAAACCCAAACGCGCCAAAACAACCGTGAGCTTTGGGTTGTTTATTAAGGTACTTAGCTAAGTACAAAACCCTAAACCCTAAGCACCAGGGCTCTCGGGCTGAATGTCTTTGGGGTATGAGGCTCCCGACTTTTTGGGGTTCAAGGTTTGGGGTTTAGGGTTTTGATTGTTTGGGGTTTGGAGATTGGGTAGGGGTTCAGGGCGTACCCACTATTGTTAGGGGCTGACAGCCAATGAAAGGATTACCCTAAACCCTAAACCCTAAACCTAAACCCTAAACCCTAATCTGCAAGGTCTGGCCTTGCACGTATCTAAGGGTAGTTCTATGGGCCCCATGAATATGGCCCCTTACCTTCTTCAAAGCGTTCTGAAGTATGAGCTCTTCTTGGGTTGAGGTATAGGGTTTAGGGTTTAGGGTTTAGGGTTTAATCAGGGGCCACCTTTTCAAGGCCCATACTACGGGACCATGTAACTACCCTTAGGCCTTAGAAGGTGGATTTGCCAGTTTATGATCTCAGAGTCGGCTTCTCATTCCCTTTTTGGGTGGGTTTTAGGTTTCCTGACAAGCCACTGTAAGTCCCAAAAAACGGGGGCACCCTTTCTATTCCTACATGAGGTTACTCTTGGGTCTGGAAAGTAGATTTGGGGGTTCAGGGTTCAGGGTTTAGGGTTTAGGGTTTAGGGCTAGGGTTTAGGGTTCCGTGGGAGGTCGCCGATTCTGGAGGCTGCAGCGCAGAGCCTCCTACAGCGATGCTGCTTGACATCCACAGCTCGACCCAGAATGCTAGGGTTCAGGGTTTAGGGTTTAGGGTTTAGGGTTTAGGGTTTAGGGTTTAGGGTTTAGGGTGTAGGGTGTAGGGTGTAGGGTGTAGGGTGTAGGGTCAGGGCTTAGGGTTTACGGTTTTTGGTTAGGGTGAAGCATTTGCTAGTACATCCAGACTGAACCCTTCATTAGCCCAGTGAGGCTTGAGGTGGGACAGCCCCAAACCCTCGAAGCCTAAGACCTGGTGAAATGAGACGACATCGGCCGCAGTCGCTGGGCCTCAAGCGCTGCCGGTTTAGGGTTTTAGGGTTTAGGGTTTTAGGGTTTAGGGTTTAGGGTTTAGGGTTTAGGGTTTTAGGGTTTTAGGGTTTAGGGTTTAGGGTTTAGGGTTTAGGGTTTAGGGTTTAGGGTTTAGGGTTTAGGGTTTAGGGTGCCTAGGGAAGCTTGGGGCAGCTTAGGGAGCCTTAGGGGAAGTAGTGGGGAGTACTAGGGAACCTTGGGCTACATCGTCGCGGGAAGAGAAGCCTGGCTGTTGACCTTGGCCTTGGACACCACCCCCCCCGCACTCCTGTGCGGGAACTGAATCTAAATTATGGTCACTTGGAGGGGGTCTCCAAAAACAACCCTATAAACCCTATAAGCCATTTTGAAAGAGCAAGTTTTTTGACATCTGCGCTTGTTCTTGGATGCGTGAACTCGAGACTGGAAGTTGCGCACGGTTCAGAGGGGATATGGTACAAGGAGAGTCGTAGGGCGCGCATCCTGTAGACCCTCGAGACCCGAAACCCCAACTGAGCCTACATGTAGGGCATTGAGCGCGAGTTGCTAAGGCCCACCCGAGCGTGAGATGCGACCACCTCGTCCGCGGCCGAAGCGGCAGGCACACGAAGCAGGTTTGCTTGGTCTCAGTGTTTCTGAAGGGTCTCAGCGGCTGCGGGGCAAGGTGATCAGGTGCTCGTTTTCCGGCTTAGGGGAGAACACCAGCCCCAGTGCAATACAGGGGCACCCTGCCGACCAAACGGATACACCGGGTTTTGAAACGATGAGCTTGTTTGGAGGGTTCCAGTGGGCTTATCTCGGATGCTTCTGTTCTTGTGATGACCCAGAGATAAGGTGATTAGCTTGAGCGGTGATTTTACATGAGCTTAAGCCAACGCTAAGATCGTCCCCTCAACTCCTCCATTAGAGTCTAGAGAAGTCTAGAATACATAAATACGTTGAGACATGTTATCTTATTCCAGTACCGCAAAATTCATGTCGAGTAAATAGGCCCCTGCGTTAGAGTTGGAGGTGTAAAGTTGAGTTCGGCCGAACGGTGAGCTTAGGAGCAGTGGTTCTTGCAGTTATCTAAGGTTGGAACCATGGGCCCTTAGTATGGTCCTTAAGGGATTTAAACGGATCCGAAGTATAGGCCTGATTATGTAAAGTGTATGTGATAAAGGGCTATATAACAGGGGACCCAAATTAGGGTTTAGGGTTTTGGGTTTAGGGTTTAAGGGCCCATACTTGGAGCCTTAACGACATGTGATTGAGCCAGTCTTGCTGCCGTGTCCCTGTAAGGAGTACCCTGAAAGATGCCCCTGTTTTCTCACCCAAGATTTGGCACCTCCTCCAATCTCTACAACCCTAATCCCTGATCCCTAGCTCTAAACCCTAAACCCGAAACCCTAAACCCCAGCCCTAAACCCTAAACCCTAAACCCTAAACCCTGAACCCTGGCCAGGGGATTAGGGGGTTGCTCCGTTTGCCAGCCACGAGGATGCAGAGCAGTGGGCGCAGGAGCGCGAACGCCAAGCAAAGAGCCTTTCCTGAAGTTCCAAGGGTTTAGGGCCTCGGGTTTAGGATTTAGGGTTTAGGGTTTAGGGTTTAGGGTGAAGAGCATCCGGGGCCCAGTTTTCTGAAATTATTAGTTAGGGGGTTTTGGGGGAGTTGCAGCCCGAAAGGCTGAGTGTGTTCAGACTACTGCTTTTCAGTAAGTGGGGGGTTTCCGAAATTCTAGG